GGCGGGGGCAGAAGCGGCAGGGGTGGCGGCGGGGCAGAAGCAGCGGCAGCGGGGGCAGAAGCAGCAGCGGGGCAGGGGCAGAAGTAGTGGCGGTAACAGCAGGAGGTGGCGCTCTGACGGCACCCGCCTTTTCTCTTGCTGCTTGGCCTGGCGCTCACCTCGCCCCGCCTTGCGCCTGCCTCTCCTCTTCCTTCTCGCTGGCTGTGGCACGATGGTTGGGGTGGGCACTGGGCCGCATTACAAGGCGACCTGGGCCGCATGCGGCCCCTGGGCCGCGGGTTGGACAAGCCTGTTTTACAGTATCCTTTCCCTCCCATGCCCACCAAGCCACACCCACAGAACCAGTAGTAAAAAAAAATTGAATCCCACTACTTCTCACCAGGCCATTTTTCTATCCTTGTTTTTTAAGGTTCAACCATTAGCACTTGTTACAAGGAATTGTTGATTGAACTGGAAGCTTTGATCAAGTCATTGCATAAATAAGAGTCCTTCATTGTTATTCCCCAACATCTGGATTCTGGGAATATCACTAGCCAGTCTTCATGTCCCCATTTATTATGATGGAAAAAATGCTGGGGCTTATTATCCTCTTATCCTTAATATCTCTGGGAACTAAAAAGTAAGCAAGATGCCACATGATTACTCTCAAATTTCATAACTCTGGCTTAAGCCTGCCAGGCCCTACTCATTACAAGGAACCACTTAGATAAGTTCAGAAGAAATCTCAGGCATTTATTGGAGGAAGATAGGAATCCATAACCAAAGAATTTCAGCAAATGCTATCATTCTATATCAAACTAAGCCTTGGTGGCACAGTGGTTAGTGTAGTACTGCAATCTATTTCTGCTGCAGCCAGCTGATCAAATTTCACCAGGCTCAAGGTTGACTCAGTCTTCTATCCTTTTGAGGTGAGTAAAATGAGGACCCAAATTGTTGGGGGCAATATGCTGACTCTGTAAATTGCTTAGAGAAGGCTGTAAAGCCCTATAAAGTGGTATATAAGTCTAAGTGCTATTGCTATTCAAGGACAAGAAGTCATGTTTAAACCCTCTAACATGTATTTTACTTCCTTATCTGTGTCATTTTTAATTATCTCTTTTTAATTAACTCTTTGTAGGGTAGGGGGTTCTTATATAAGGTTCTTTGAGAACTTTCATTGCCATCCTAGCTTTGTTGCTACTACTTCTGGGAATTCATGTTTGCTACCATTAAAAAAAAAGTTTCATCAGAAATACAGTATGTCCTCTTAAAGGAAGTAAGGCTTAATACAATTAATAAAAATTAATGCAATTGATAACATTATTTGGCTTGCTAGTAGATAGGGTATACAAGTACATTCTAAAGCCATAGATTACAAAAAGTCAGGAGAAGTAGAGATATTATTTCTAAAGCTGAACTCTTGTTCCCCTTAACATTAATGATGGGAGACTGGAAAAAAATGGAAGGGATAGCAAATATAAGCCATCTTGAGAAGGACAACTGATAACTTATCAAATAAATGCCATCTTGGTCCCAGATGGAGGGAAAAAAAACTAAGAAAAAGCATTTTGAATCATTCAAAGAGCCTTTGCATTAATTAGCACACTAGAAATAAGAGTGGGAAATATACCCAAAAGTGATTCTGTATCCCTGGCCTAAAAAGAGATTTAACCATAACTGCCATGATATTTGTTTGTTTTGTTTTGTTAAGGAAGGAAAAGGAGGCAGAAGATAAACTGATGGAACAAATGGAAACTTTAATAGGATTCCTTTTTACTCTCCAAAAGATGAAATAGTAACTACTTGTATAAGCAGGAAGAGTGACTGGGTAGGTGAGCTGATGGCCAAGTCCAGTTTGTTTCTGCAGCAAGATCTCAAGTAGGCCAATCCCTTTGTTTTCCCTGAGTTTTGAGCTCAGGGCCAAAGTAAATGTCATTCAAAATGTATAGTTTTACCATAAGTGGATCGCAAAATTTCAGAAATGACTAATAGATTTCCTGATTATTGTAATTCACACCAGATCTCAAACCCCCAGAAGTAGGTCACTTTCTGGTTTGAATAGCAGGAGCAAGAAGAAATCTTATTTAAATGCCTGTGGTGGAAGGAAAGCCATCTTTCACTCAGCCCTACCCCTTAGTGTGACCTGACAAATTAACAAATTTGTCACCTGACAAATTCCTTCAGTCCCAAAGATGTTGCTGTGGATAACTAAGAACAATAAAGATAGAACCATTTTCTTTCATTGAATGTAAAAAAGAGAATACTCTTATGTTCACTATGCTGTAGCAAAGAACATTCAATAGCAAATGACAGATTTAGGGACTCCAATTTATATATTTTTGTGGTTAGTTGTGAGATCCTCATCCAGCCTTTCCACTAATGGAAGATCTTCAATGATTGATTGGTTATGTGCCATCAAGTCATTGTCAACACTTAGTGATCACATAGATAGATTTTCTCCATGACAATCTTGGTCTTTCAGCTCTTCCAAAGATGCTTCTATCACTTTGTTCAGCTTGTGGCTGATCATCCATTTATTCTCTTTCCTTCTACCTTTCCCAACAATAAAGCCTTCACCAGAGAGCTAGGTCTTTGCATAAGGTGTACAAAGTAGGATAGGTTCTCAAAGCAGGATTATTATTATTTATTAAATTTATATGCCACTCATCTTGCAGTTTGAGAGACTCTGAGTGGCTTACAATATGATATAACATATTACAAATATAAAAACAATTATAAATATAAAAAGCAATTACAAAAAAGTAAAACAAACTAAAAAAAATCCCCACAGGTTTGCTTCAGTGGCTTCTCTGTTACTGCATTAGCCACCTCCAGCCAACAGTTTCTCCTTCAGGGTCCCATGACAACCAAGTTTAAGGCACTTAAGGATTTAAGACCCACTCCTGAGGGTCAGGAAGAGAGGGGAAAGATCTCACACCCTGTAGCAAAATGGCAGAATGACCATGGCAGAAAAGACTCTTCTCTGAACCTCACCAGCTGCAATTCCTGGGGGTCTACAGTAAATCTCTTCTGCCAGCATGAAAGAGAGTGGTAATGGGTCAATCCCATTGGGGAAAGATGGCTCCTCAGATATCCTGGACCTATACCATAGAGGGCTTTAAAGGTAATGATCAACACCTTGAATTGGACCTGGAAGCTGATTGGCAACCAGAGAAGCTCGCATAACAATGGTATTATATGTGTCACAAAGGGCCTGCAAAAAGGTCTATGCTGCTGCATTCTGGACCACTTCTGAATAGTCTTCAAGGGCAGTCCCATGTAGGAGGCACCACAATAATCCAAATGGGAGATGACCAATAGATGCGGGATTGAGCACAGAGGGTGCATGCAGAGGGTCCAGAAAAGGTGCGTGCAGTTGGCTCACAACCCCAAGTTGTACAAAGGCTCTCCTAGCCATGACTGCCACCTGCTCTTTGAGCAAGAGTTACGAGTCTAAAAGAACCTCCATGTTGTGTACTGAGTCTGTCTGGGGTAGCGCCATCCCATCCAGAACCAAAAATAATAAACCTATGGATCCTGAGGCTCCATGTATCCACAACTACTCTGTCTTACCAAGGTTCTGCTGAAGCCGGTTGTCCCTTATCCAGATCCTTATCCTAGGATAGGTTCTCAATGAAGAGTCTCAAAAGAGTTAACAAATCACAACAATCTAATTAAAACATAATTAAAAGCACAGTTAATGTAGTAAAAATGCACAATTCAAATGCTCATAATATGTTTAGGTGATAAAGCCTAACATTTGGAGTTTAAGGACTTCCCATCTGAGTGACCTTTGGGAGCATAGATGGGCAGATATGCTTGCTGAATTGGATGACAGGGCCTCTATAAAGGCCTCTTCCCTTTTGGTTTTACAACTCCTGATTTGGTGATTGTTAAGAAAACAAAAGGTCTCCCTCGCACTGTTTCAGACTCTGGTACATTGCGTGTGACTTCAGGGATAGTCTGGAGGCTTCTGCTGAGAATGTGAAATGTCGCCACCACTACCACAGTAGAACTTTGGCAAACCTTTCCCACAGCTTTGGAAAGGCATCAAATTTGTGCTCACCAAGTGAGTTTGCAGGCACTGATTTGCTGCCAATCCAACCCAGGGGGAATTGCCTAGCCAGATTTCACCTCGACAGAGGAAAAGCAAATTGAATTCAGATGAGCAGGCCCCAGCAGTAGGTCTCTTCTGGTGTTACAGAAGAACTTCCTTCCGAGCTTATACGATCACACAACTGTGCTCTCTCCTTTGGCATCACTATAGTTAATGCACCCAGAATAATAAACAGATGGCCCTTTTCTATGAATATGTAGTGGACAGCTGGCAGAAATGTACCCTTTTTTTCAGAGCTAGTATTTTTAATTTTTGTTATCATGCCAAACATCCTATATCTGGAAATCATATTAACTCCACTAAATAATCTTGGGGCCATATGTTTTGCTGATGGAAATGTTTCATGTGATAATGATGTTTTTACAATAACAGTTTTGGTTTGGACAATTGAAAAAATATAATTCTTCCCCCAATGGTTCTTTCTTTCTTTCTTTCTTTCTTTCTTTCTTTCTTTCTTTCTTTC